TGAAAGAAAGTTCATTTCCTGGTAAGCTAGAAATTAAGCGGAATGTCCTAAACAGAAAGTTTTTTCTTTACTGTGGAAGATACTCATTCTAGACTCAAAAGGGAATTTATTTCATTAAAACATAGTGCAGATACATTTTGGGAGATGGCTTTTTCATCAAAGAAGATGCTATAATGCTGTAATGATCATCATCATTACTTCTCCATTCTTACCATTGTGCTTCTGCAGATTGCCAAAGGGATAGAAGATTGGGAACAGAAATCCAAGATAACCATGTAAAGAATGGTTTTGTATATGTATGGGCAATTTAATAATCCGTGCTAATTTTTAAAAAAGGCATGACAAACAACTGGTTTAACATTTTAGACCATAAGGTACATGGCTAATACAGTGAGATATGCTTTCGGGCAATCTGCTCAATGTAGGCGTGATAATAGTAATTAAAGTATAATGAGTATTGATAAGTTGCGTTGTTATTACATTGTCTGGTAGTCACGTTTCATTTAATCCTAGTGTGCCAGACCTTTCTTGCAATGAGAGTACCTTTTTCTTCCTGTTCTCTTCAAAAACCAAGCTATTGACAGGATGAAAGTGTTCTAGTTGAGAGAGGCTGTGCTAGCATGAACAGCCCCACTCCAGATTTGTTGCTGATCAGAGATGGCAGTAGTTGTGGCTGCGGAGCATTTCTGAAGGACTGTGAAAGCATGTTCAGAGCAATTACTTTATTGTTCCAGTACCCTTACAGCACAGAGGGTCATTACACTCAAAAGTAGAAAGAAGTGCCCTGAATCTGTCTGTGTGATTCACCAGACAGCTGAGTGGGCTGGGTACTTGTGATGCCTGATCAAAATTCAGCACCCTTAATTACTTGTAAAAGGGAGGATTTTTAAAGACGTAAAATTGGCAGTTACATGCCTAACTAATTCCCACTGTAAACCTTGTCTGTGAGCTTTAGCTGATGATGGCAAGCAAACCTCTCACCCCATTAGTCGGAACACTCCACTTACTCATTGCAAAAAGTAAGAATGGTAGGACTATTGTATAGTTGTCAGTCATAGTGTGATGTAAAGCTATAGCGAATGTTGTCTGTGAGAAACAGCTGCTGTGAGAGAAAGGGTAAAACCGTACTCCTTTATTTCTGAAGGATTTGCCTTTGACATCAGAAGACCTTCCCCAACAAAGGGAGGAGAACTTTTTCAACAGTCCCCTTCTCATCCACTGCTCAGTGACTTGAAGCAGAGCAATGATGAAGCAGCCCTAAAACTTCTGTCCTCTACGTTCACCATCACACAGAGTCAGGCTTTAAATGCTTTAAGCTGAGAGAAGTCAGAAACAGTTGTTCCTAATAACTTATATTCTGACAAAGCCATTGCATTCAAGCTTGAACAAACTAGGTGTGTCAGTTTTTCTGGTATTAGAGCTTTTTGGTGATTAGGATTAAGTTGTGATGAAAAAAGGCAACAGTTTGAGGAAGTGACTAAATTGTTAGGTAAAAGGTTTTTAGTGTATGGACATTCTGGCTACACTTACGGATGTTTTGCCTAAATCTGAAACATAGCTGTTTCCATTTAAAGTAGTTTCATGGAATGGGCTGTCCCTTTGTCTGTAGTACTCTGTGATTTTTACAATGACAATTTCCTATTTAGAATATATAAAAAAAATTTTTTTTCCCTCCTTTATGTTGTATGAAAGCCACAGAGAAAAAAAACCCAACCAACTATACAAGGTACAGAGAGAACAAGCAATTATTTGTTGTCAAGTATACAAAATAAGTGAAAGGAGGGTTTTCTTTTTGAAAACGCTGATATCTGGATATTAGCAATTACATGAACCAGAGATAGCAACCATTGTTACCATTACTTTGTAGAAATTCAAGTTTTTTAAATTGTCCATGGATTACTTGAAAATAAAATAACTGACAGTAACCTATTTGACTACCAAAAAGTCAGAAGTGTGCTAAGGGTTAAGAGAATAACAGAAATCCTAAATACTCTTGTATGATAATTATGACTATCTCTAGTTGCGTTCTCAGGATTCTAGATTAAGGTGTTTTGGTTTTTTTAACTTTATGGTAATATATGCAATGGTTTTAATTTTTTGAGGAACTACTTTGTGAAAACTGGAGTACATATTATTCCACCTGAGATGTGCACCCAAAAAATCACCTCATTGTTGTGATTTTCTGTCTACTACACACAGGGTACAAGTTCCCCCTCCTCTCAACTTCAGCCATGATATTTTGTCAGTTTGGAAACTGCAAAAGTAAATTGGTAAGAGTGGGCACACACTAAGTGTGTGGTGCAGTAGTGTCTTGGAAGAAAATGAGAAGCTTTTTTACACCCACCTTTTTATGGGTTAATTTATCCCGGTCTTTGCTAACGGAGTTGTATTATCAGTAACTAATGGAGTTTTGTTAATGTTAATGGAGCTGTGAAGCCATAACATAAAGATCTGTATGACTGACAGTATGGTAAATCCCGCCTCCAGAAGAATTACCATGCCAAGATTACTGTAGCAAGCTCCTTAAGAAATTTCTTCCCAAGAATCCTTTTTCTTTTCTCTTGACACCACATCAGAGAGAGAGAGGTAAAAAGAGTTTGCAGGTTTAATTCTGTGATAGCAAAGATAAGTTTTCTAAACTTTTAAAATTTTTTTTTGGCAAGATGTCTTCAGAAACCGCTTTCTCTCTACATGCTTATCTAAGAAATACAGTTAGTTTTGGTGTCTTGCTACTGTTTGCAACTTAGTAAAGAAGAAATTTGAGGCATTCTGGTCAATTCAATTACTCATCTTAGTCTTCTCTAAATTCAGAGTAAATTCTGGGGAACCAATGGGACTTATACAAAAAAAGCATTTTACTAAAAGCACTCCTTTAGATTATGGATGTTTTTCAATTTTATATGCTTATATGTAACTTAATCAGAGAAGTTAGTGGAGTTTTTTGTGTGAGGCATATAGTTGTATGTACAGTTTTTCCCATTTGCTATTTGGTACTTTCAGTACTGATCTTTGATTAGCAACATAGGCAGTTAAATAGTAAAAGCATTTGGCATTTTTTGGAATGGAGTCTTGGAAATGGCAGCGTTGCCTTTTGTAGTTTGTTTTGCTATACTTGAAAATAAATATTTTTAACAACTGAGTCAGCACAGGGAAAAATTGCTCTTGCATCCGCTCCCAGGTTTCAAAGAACCATTCACAGAGCATCTGTGAAAGCAGAAAAAAAGGGGGCCAACCTCCAATCTGAGGAAATAAACCCCTATCAAAACAAAATGAACCATCTTAACATTATGGAAAATTGCTGAGAAAAGGTTTGTCTGTTTAGAGGGAGCATTTGTGGTTGTAAAATGGATTGACCTTGGTTATGCAAAATACATCCAATGTGATGGAGCGCTGGTTGATGGAAATCAGGTTTTCAAAGTTGAGATAAAGAGAACCTTGAACTATGTTTTTACTACCTCCAAGAGTACAGTTATCTTCTCTCTAGTAAATGCCCATTCGGGATTCAAGAAATTCGTAACACATTAAAGTCCTGTTGAATGATTCAAGTTGGTGCAACCTGCTGATTATACTGTACGGACATTAGTGTAGTGTCTGGGCTAAATAAAAGTTTGAAGTTACTAAAACAGGTTAATTGCTGTGAGGGATAGAAGGGTTAGGCAAAATGGATCTTTTTCAATACAATCTACTTTATAACTACTGAATGACTGAAAATATTCTGTTAACTCCTGGCATATTTCTTATGTGTTGATCAGGTCTTAAAATTGTAATTGCAGTTCTCCTAGCACTTCACTGTTTTTAAAACAAAAAATTGATATAAGGAAGTCATCTAAACTGAGAATTAGCCATATAGAGTTAATGATTAAAAGCACAGTAAAAAGCCAAAGAATTCCTGTAGTTATTGTATACCAAATAGTAAGAAATAAAAATGTCATGGAAGTAAGCTTATACTGCTGCAATCTTTAGTGTGATCTGAGAAAGAATAACTCTCCGCTCAGCTGATACTACATATTTTGCAATATCATTTTTTGCATTCCTTGGAAGAAGTTGTCTTGATAACACGGTATGAATTAGAAAAAACTTTCAGATGTGTGTTCTTCCTATGCGTGGGTACTTCTCTATTTTCACCACCAGGAGATGCTTTTCTTTGGTTTTTGAATTGAAGTTCTAACCTGGAAATGTTTCTTACCGAACCTCATAAGAACTTGAGAAATGCTTTGCTTTCAATACATCAGAATTTTCAATGTGATAACATTAAATGTATGATTACTTGATCTCTCCATGTGATATGACTGAGGCATGTAGAGGTGTTAAAAATTCTGAGACCAGCTGTGCATATTTAATGTCCTACAGGATAGTCATAATTAAAAGAGTTAGATGACATGATGGAAGGAAGCATAGGAAAGTCTCAGGCAGGCATCAGCAAAAGGGACAAGAGCAAATAAACAAGTTCTTGTTCAGAGGGTTTAGAAAAACTGTTTTGCATTCTATTGTGAAATCTTACTTTGAGATTTTCCTCTCTTTAAATTCCATCTGTTTTCACAGAATCATTTCTACATTGAACCATGGAGGAAGAGAGAAGAGTCATGTCCATGTTGCCCTGTAATTGCAGCATGATGTTATGCATGCTGGTCAGGGCGAGATTTGCATAATAATTTGTCCATATATAAATATTATGTTGCTGGTTTAATTTTAGAGAGCAGGTAGAAGTATACTTAAGCTCATTGTCACTTTACTGGCACATCTGCTGTTTCCATTTCCATAGTTTTTTGAAAACTCATTTTGATAATATTGCAGCTGAGGAAAGTTAAGAGTATATTGTTTCCAGGCAATTTCACTAATGGAACAAAGTATGATACATTGTGTGGTACAGCAAGTGTGCAGAGAACACTATGTAAACTTTTCAGATTAAACCTTACTTTTACTTACTGTAGGAAAAGACATACATAGAAAGAATGTTTCTAAATCATCTTTTTTTTTTTTTTAATCTGTTTTGTTTTCAGGCATTGCTATTTCTGATGAACTTGATAAGGTAAGATTTACTGTATGCCTAATGAACAGTAAAAAAAAGACAGATGGTTGTGATAATCTTAGGCAATGACAGCTGCATCTCCCTGTCCCGGCATACACACTTCAGTTCTGTTGGGTTCAGAGGAAGTTTGGGTATGGAAAGCTATATGGGTAAGTACAGTATATGTTGATACATTAAGAGCTTGATCCAGGATGGGCTGTCAACTATGGAAAAAAATCTCACTGAATTTAAGAGACTCTTGATGGGCCATGGAAATGCTTTTGATCTTGGTACCATCTTTGCTTAATATTGTCTGCTGGGTTACTTTGTGTACTTTTGGAAACGTTTATCTTTAAATACCTTTTATTCATGAAGTCATGAATTCTGCATTCTCAGATATGATTTGTAAGAATATTTAGGAATAATTTTTGCTCCCTAGGTTTGATCAGGAATGCACAGGGCATAAAGATCAGTGTTTACTTCCTTGCTGAATGCAACAAAACTCTTCTGTTTTAGCCCTTTTGACATATTACACAATTAACATTAATTTTAGTTTTAGCTGTAATGAACTCTTATGTTGGAAGAGTTTTAGTCAAGCTAATTTTTCAAAGTTCCCAAGGAAACAGAACACCTTTCTCTTCCCTAATCTCACCAGTGAACAGCAGTACACTTCTAGTGCCAAGAATCTTGGGTTGTGTTCTTGGTGCCAGAAACCATTACTATCAGGGAAATAGGATCAAAAGGTATATAAGACACAGGAATAATGCCTAACACGGGAGACAATTTTTTAAATATCTTTCCTTTCTCCTGGTAAAATGAGGGCACAAACCTCTCTGACACAAGTCCATATAAAATATCTCCACTGTGTTCTCCAGGAAAGGCCACTTAGACAAGATTGATCACTGTTACCATGCAGTCATGTGCATATGGGGCTGCCATTTCAAAACCATGGCCTTTACTTATCATTTTGCCCTTGATCCTGCTTTATTTTGTTGTTCATATTAAGAGTATAACAGCATCTAAGTCTTCCTTCCTACTATTTCCTTAACTGTGCTCAGAAGTGATGAGAAATACAATTAGAAAGTCCTTCCGTTAGAACCCTTACCTTGAAGAATACTTATGAAGAACTCCTCTTCATTTGGTTTTGTTTGTTGAAAAAAAACGATGAAATACTGTTTGTGGGAGGAAAAAGACATTTTGGGCTAGAGCCTGTTATCACGTACTTTTTACATATATTTTTTAGGTGATACTTCTGTGTTAATTTTTTTTAAACGGTGATAGATTATTGTTCAAAAACATTCATGTTTTTTAAATTTAATTATTCAGTGTGAAAATTGAGATGGGGAACATCATTGGTGAATTTCCTCGGGATCCAGTCTGAGCAAAGAGTTAATTTTCTTTTTGTTGCCATATAGTTTATTGTTTGTGATTTAAAATTGGAAGGTGGTGGGTGTTTTTAAATAAAACTTGACATTATGTTGTGTACATTCAGTAGCATACATTACCTGACACCTTTACAATACTGTGTCTGCTTTAACATCTGTTTCTGATGAGGACAGGTAAATTGAATGTTCTTGAAATCAAAAGTTATTTGGAAAATAAATAAAAAACCAAAACCCAAAGCTCTTAACATGCTTCCTTCGTGCAGCATTGCTCAACAGGCTTCCAGGATAGATTTACAGAAGTAGTGCAATTTTTCCTCTCCATGGACTTTAGTGAACTTCACTTCTATTTCTTGTTTTACCCCTTAAGGATTTTTAATGGACATAAAGACTAGTTCTGTGTTAAGAAATTAAGCATAGCTAGGACCATTCTGTGGAATCCTGCCTCTTAGGAATGATCACTTACACGAGCTAATTCCCGAAATGTTCCTGTGACTTGTTTTTAAGTGTATTATTTGGCATGGGCCAAAAGCAATCAAAGACTACCTGATAGTGGTTTAACATTAGACAGAATTTGGTTCCATTTCACCTGAGCATGTTCCCAGGCATTGTTTATTTTTCAGGTATAAATGTAGTCAAGTTCGTGGTAATTCCTTTCCCAGAAATACATGCTGATAATACAGCTTCCTTATCTAGGCTATGGCAGCGCTGAATCATTTTTCAAACCTCATTCATCTGTGGTTTGGATTAACCGTTTAACCCTTCAGGTGCATGTCATGGGTCTAGAACAGCGTGCCCAAACTTGGCATTGGATTCTGTTATAAAATTGACATTACATAGATGTCATGAGAGACATAAAACTAAACACAATAATAAATTCTTCTATATGCTCTTCCTTGCTTTATTTTCCTGATGATTGGGAACATTCTTGGGGATTAGGACAGAGCCCATAATCCTGGTGTTTTTATCTGTGTTTTAGATTATGAACTCAGAGAAAACAGAGAATGCATGTGTATCTTTATTTTTGTTTCTCCTTGTGTAAGTATTTTTTAAAAAAATTATTTCTTTCTGGCTGCAGTAACCTCTAGCTGCCTTTGTCAGGGGAGTACTTGATCAGTATTGTTGGTTGATGTAACTCCTCCTCCAAGTAATCCAGTTAATTAGTCAGTTGCTTAGTTACTTGAGCATTTGGATTTGGAAAACCAGTTTGCTCTGAATTACAATCACTTTTATGGAAGGGTGTTTCATTTAAACACATTCTTGTCAAATATCTTCTATTATTAGCTTTGTGCCAGGACTTAGGGCTTCAGTCCAAGACAGAGGTAGAGAAAATACAGGCAGACAAGGTCAGTCAAAATGGAAGCTTTCAGTTTGACACAGTCTAATAAAATTTCAGAGTTCACTGATAAAACTGCAAAAAAATTTTGTAAGATTACTGCAATTAAAACAGATTTATCATATAGATTCCTTCCTTTTTCATCTCATTTACTTCAGACTTGCCGAGTTTGGCGTTCAGTCTCTCTTGATGATTCAGACCATGTCTCTAGGCCATGGAAGCTATGTAAAATCAGCAACTGGCACTGCTTGCATAAGGAAAGAAAATGAAGAGGGATGCCTTGTGACTCGCAGATTTTAAGGCTAAAGTGCAGAGTTAATGTAATACAAATTTCTGAATTGACTCACCCTCCTTACCACTGCACAGAAACTATGCATGAAAGTGTGCGGTTTCTAAAACTTCTCAATAATGTGAAGAATTTTATGTACACAGACAAAGAAGTTGGGCTAGGATGTTAGTCCTTCAGTGAAATTCACAGAATTCTGGTTTGTTTAAAAAATTATGGAGGAAAAAACACTGAATTCACTGTGAGTTTCAGGGTTTTTCCTAAGACCGTTAGGACACTTCCCTGGGAAGTAGAAAATTCAAATTCACACAGAAGTATAGACTAGTCATACTACTGAAGCTCTGGTGTCCTACGTGAGTGCTCTGACCATGGGGCTTCTGATGATATGCCTCCTCTATAATTTGCTGCTGCTGGAAGACCCTACTTGTGTTTATGTCACAAAATAAACTGTAATATATGTTGTGCTGTAGCACATCTGCATTGTAAGATACATTGAGGCGGAATGGAGCCAGGATGCTACAATGCAGAAATAGGTTTAAAATGGGTTTATATGATTGTATCCTTTTCAGCAACATTTCTGAACCAGGCCATGAAAAATAAGGAGTCACACCCTTTACCTCTTGCCACAGTTGAAGACTGACTAAAATAATCTCATTCTAAAGCACTTTGAAAGGAGACAGGGCAAGGTTTGTTAATCTTCTGGTTTTTGATTCTCTAAAGAACACTTAGTGAATGTTTTCCAGTTTTTTTTTTTTTTTTTACTGCAAATACTAAGACTAGAAGTATTTTCTTTTTAAATAGATGAGATTCTCACATAATCTCAACATTCCATGGATTGGTGCTTTACTTAAGCTTCCTGTAGCGGAGCTCTCACAGGTAGTGTGAGACCTGTCATAACATTGTGAAATTTGTCTGGAATTCTCAATAATATCTTTCAGTCACTTTAAACATTAATAATGGGAGACAGTTAAGTGTTAGAGATCCAGAATCAGACTTGAGTAAAGATGATCTAATAATTCATAACAGATTTTGACCCTCAAGGTTAATATTAAAACATTTTTTTCTATGCTGTGTCTAGGATATACTTTCTTCTTACATGTAGTATTACTATAATGAACACAGGTTATAATTAATAAAATAGAGGAAACAACTACTATAAGTCATAAAAATAAAAACATTTCTGCTCACCCAGAAGTATTTCTCACTGTGGAGGTTCCCTCAAAATCCATATCAGAAATTAGAAATAATGAGCTTTTTAAACTATGCTTAAATACATAGATACACAAATGTTGTTGTGCTCCCTGGTAGGAGTTGCATACTGCAGCCACATCTCAGCCCAACGTGAAGATGAGATTCAGCTGTCCTCCAGTCTTTCCCTTCTTCTCCTGGTCTCCACATAAAGGAAGCTCAAGTGTGTCAAGTTGGTAGCCACTGATGTGTATAAAAAGTGGATGACACCTGGGCTATACCCTAAAATAATCCTCTAGGTTCATTTAGTGTGGATTTAAATACCTACCTGTCCTGAAAATACTTCTGTGTACACTAATGTCACTGTCAATCTCTTCTGTTATTTATGAGGGAATATAAATTGGAAATCAGTTATGATTCTAAGGTTTATATATTAAAAAAAGCCCTGTAAAAACTTGTTTAAGAACAGAATACTTCATCTGAATTTATTGAAGCTTTTGAAATAAGGTGCTAAATAAATGTACTGGTGCTCTCAATAGAGCCGTCTCTGATTCTCCATTTACTGTTTTCACTGTGGCTGCTTATATAGTTGAAAGGAGGAAAATAAATTAGGTCACCAAAACTGTGGTATACTAATCTAACAAGATTCAAAAAGGAAAGCAAGGTGATAAAGTGAGGCAAAGCATGACTATGTAATGTAAATTACATTTCTATTAAGTAGAGTATGAAAGTGGTACTTTAATCCCTAGAATTTCTAGAAAAGAAATCAGCATAACAAGGATAGACACGGTATTCATGGTCTACTTATTCATATGCTGATGGTGCAGTGGACAGTGTCAGGAAAAACTTGTACTGAAAAAAGGGCAAATTTTTACGTGCTTTTTCATTTTTGCTTAAGGGACTGAAAGCTCTTAGCAAGATTGACACTGCAAGTTGTTGCAAATTTAACTACCTCTGCTACCCTTTTTTAATTATTAGAAATTATCCTAGGGAGAAAGGGAAGGGAGAAAATGGCTAGAGTAGCAGGAATAAACCTCAGAAGGGACCAAATGGTTCTTACTTAAACTACTGTAGGCACCTTGTGTAATGAAGGTATTGTGGGCAGCGGAATAATCTTTTTTCCTAGTTCATAGGTATATGATGGTAGTCACACCTGTGACAGGTTACATCTGTGAAGTGACCAGAGGCCACTTTCATCTAGTTTGCATTACCTGACTATGACACAGCACCAGACAGATGCACAAAATTTGTATTTGTAAGTACTTAGAAGAAAGACACTGGTGGTTAGGTATTCTAAAACCTCTGAAGCTGTGATGTTTTCCTCAGATTTCTCTCTTCTATATTGGCTGCATTCCATTTTCAGTGGTCCTACTGTGTCATGTCAACCTTACAGAAAACAGACATTGTGTAAAAAGTGAATTAGTCAAGCGATGGAGAACTCTGGACAGACGTATGGAGGGTGGAGTGCAGTAATGCACTCACAGGCACATTGCAGAAAGCAGAACAAAAGAACAAGGGAGAATGAGTCTAATCCAGGGCCTGGGTCGTATTTGGCTCTGTCAAAATGGAAGCTCTTGGGGTTCTGCTGAGCAAAATTACAGCATCTAGCCGCAGCAGGGTAAATATATTCATATGAAAGCAGTTTGCAGACTTGCTTTGTTTGTTTGTTTCATTTCAGCAGAGGCCTCTACTTCAAACTGCTTTTACCATATCTGTGTCAATTAGGAAGAGACTTTAAAAATGGTTTGTTTTTAGGAAGATGAGAAAATATGGTTGCTAGGCTAAGTAATGACTGTGCTGTACTTTTTCCAGATGCTCTTTGTTTGGAAAGCATTGTTTTATGGCAGGAATATTTATTGAGACACTGAGCTAGGTAACAGCCAAGGATCTGTTTTCCTAAAATTTTCTCTCGTTAAAGGGTTGGAATAGAATATATGTCTCCTAATTAGGAACACTGTATTTGAAATGTCTTTGCTAGCCTAGAAGAGAGTTTAATTAAAGCAAAATAAATATTCCTATCCCATCATTTGATGTCTGTTTTTTTGCATACATGCTTGTTTCTTGGTTTGATTATACTGTTGTACATGACCCTTTATCTACAACTGTTCTAGTAACATTGAGAACAGAGATACCACTTCAGAACAGCTTTTTCATACAATTTTTAAGGACAATTTGTTTCCTTAATCTAAATTCCTAATACAATGATGCAAATCATCGCTATTGTTTTGAATGTTCCAGTTAGATTTTGCTTGCTTCTTGTAATCCTCTCCAGCTATCTTCTTCCAGTAGGTGGTTAGAAATATGAGTACTAGTTTCAGAAATGCATTTTATTAAAATGTTAATACCATTTTCAGAATTGAAAGATACATTATGTAAATCCCAGCAGGGTTATTTTTAAAATGCCAAATGCAGATGTATTTATTAGTTTTGCATTAATTCATAATGCAAATAAGAGTGATGCTGTTAATCTACAGCAGTCTTTTGGTTGGGGTGTTCATTTTACAAGTGACCTCATCTGTTGCTTAGCAGAACTGACACAGTGCTGGTTTTGAGTTGTGCGTTTATTAAAAAAAACTATAATTTTTCAAGACGATACTCCAGGTTTCTACAGTTGCTATTGAAAAGTAAGAAAAAGGGGAGATTTGAGGCATCAGGGTGGGCAAATCTCTCTTAGAATTTTGTTAATGGGATTGTTTCTGGGTATTTTGTAGCTCTCTGAAATGATAATGTACTGTACTGTATTGTTTTTGTACTTTTTTAATGAATAGTGTTATTTTCTATTTCTTCTTTTCCTTTCCTATTTACATGTGTGGTTGAGAACAAGCAGTGCAGTGTTTCTGGGTTTTTGTATTTCTCTTCAGGACACAACAGGTTTTAACACCCCCCTTCTCAGACCTCGTGTGATCGGAGAATGGATTGGTCGTGAAGAGAATGATGCTGACCCCCTGGCTGCTGAGATGCTGCAGCCACCAATACCAAGAAATAAAAATGAGCAGTGGGACAGCGAGGATAGCAGCAGCCCTGGAGGAAGGTGGGATTTTGGTTCTGCCTAGAAATTGTATAATTTGTGAAGTGGATCTGTCTTTGTAACGCCCCATTTCTGAGAGCAGAGTGCAGGGCATTTAAATTCCCACACCATAGTGTGGCAGCATGCAGAATAAATGGAAGCTATTAATATGTGACTGGTTTCTTCTCATGCTTTTATATATGATTAACTTTATACTCATTTGCAGTCCCATGGTTTTATTCCCATGTATAAAGCTAAATGTATGTTGACAAGATTGGGGCTCATCGTGTAATAATTTTGTGATGTATAGCTTCATTCAGATACTTCAAACCCTTCTGTCTTTCAGCATTTGGTAGTAGCTGTTTGTTAATCTTCTTGACACTTTAGTGATAAATCTGATTTTCTCATTTAAAGGAAAGATAGACAAGGGAAACAGTATCTATGTTATTTTTAACAGGACTTTCTAAATTCATCTTCAGTTCTTATGCTTAGCATCTTGGTGTTAATAACAATTCTTCCTCAAAGAGAAAATTGTATTCTCTGCAGTAAATAACTTCGGATGATTTATTGCACTTGAGTGAGGGTGGAGGAGTATGTTTGTTTGTTAATGTGCTTCAGCTACATGGAAGAGATTATCATTTTTCCAAGGAGTCCATTTTCCGTGATTTAAAGATACCTGTTTATCACAGAAAGTGAAGTATTTACAGACTTTCTTTAAAAGGGAATCATGCTTTTTTTTTTTTTTTAAAGTGTAAAGCTTGTGCACTGCCTCTGTTAATTGCCTTAAACATCTACGGTTCTTCCTCAGCCCTGTAGCCTTTCTCCTTGGTTATAACTACTACTCTGACTGAAGCAGACACCTTTTTCTTCCTCTTTTAAGAAGGCAGAAACTCTTTGCTTTCCCTTTGAAAAGGTCTAAGGTATTGTCACAGAATCGTAGAGTAACTCAAGTTGGAAGGGACCCATAAGGATCATCGAGTTCAACTCCCTGCTCCTTGCAGGACTACCTAAAACTAAACCATATGCCTAAAAGCATCGCCCAGACGCTCCTTAAACTCTGACAGGCTTGGTACCATGACCACTTCCCTGGGGAGCCTGTTCCAGTGACCGACCACCCTCTCAGTGAAGAATTTTCCTGATGTCCAATCTGAACTTCCCCTGACGCAGCTTCATTCCATTTCCAAGAGAGGAGATCAGCACCTCCCCCTCAGCTGCCCCACTTGAGGAAATTGTAGACTGCGATAAGGTCACTCCTCAGCCTTCTATTCTCCAAGCTGAACAAGCCAAGTGACCTCAGCCACTCCTCGTGAGTCTTGCCCTCGAGACCTTTTACCATCTTGGTTGCCCTCCTCTGGACATACTGTAATAGTTGGATGTCCTTATATTGAGGCGCCTAAAACTGCACGCAATACTTGAGGTGGGGTTGCACCAGTACAGCGTAGAGTGGGACAATCACCTCCCTCGACTGGCTAGCTATGCTGTGCTTGATGCACCCCAGGACATGGCTGGCCCTTTTGGCTGCTACGGCACACTGTTAACTCATATTCAACTTGCCATTAACCCAAACTCCCACATCTCTTTCCACGGGACTGCTCTCCAGCCTCTCATCTCCCAGTCTGAATTGTGAATATTCCTTCACTATGTCCTCCATGTGCCTTCTACATCGGAATTCACCTCCCTGTCACAGGGAAACCAGTCTGTCACTTGCTGTACTCTTACAGGCTGTATTCATTAACTTTCCTCACATGTTGGGAATGTTTGTTATCCATAAGCACTTCTTTCTTCTTTTAATTAGCTTATTGTGGGGGAAGCTGCAAGTACTACTATTTCAAAGAAGTAGCAGCATGTAGTAATGATCCCTCAGCCAGACGTTGGACTGGAACCAACAGAACTCAGACACTGGGTCTCTCCAGTGCAGTTCCTGGGAAAGTAAAGGAGTCAGCAACTGCCACTGCAGATTGATTGTGAGGGCCTGGGTTTCTTTTTCCTTATTCAGCAGTCCAATAAAGACACTGAATAAAGATCCGTTCCACGTTGCAGAGCAAATTGAGGATATTGTATCCCTTCTCTCAATAGGAAGGAGCAGAAATAAGCATCTCTGATCTCTCGATGGGAGCAAAGAGGTTTAGTTCTGAGTAACAAAGATGATTCAAAGCAGCGTATTTTTCTCTTTGTAGAGGGTGGTACAAGCTGTGAGAAACCTCACAGCTAATGCTATAATTAAAAAATGTGATTAATGGCTTTGAGAATAGTATTTGAGAAGTCTTGTTGAGTATCATGACAAATTCACGTTGCCTGGTGAATGAAATAAGGAGAATATGGGGTGCTTGATGCCAGGAAAGACTGGCATCCCATATCATGGGACACTGATATCTCTAGTTTTTAGGTGCAGTAAGTGCTGAAGACCTGTTGAAAAATATGTATTGTTAAGTGGGAATACAGATTTTCAGTGGAAATGAATAACTATTAAATTACATGCAGCATATGGGTTTACATTTGGATGACTGATTTTATGTCTGGGATAATTCTTTGCTTCATTAGCATTTCATCAGCTTTTGTAAGGCATTTATAAAAAGCCTGTTTGCAGTCTTGCAAAATAATCATAAATTGCAGAACTTCAAGATAGGGGTGATACTAAAATTTATGCCACCTATATATGGAGGTTTAAAAGATCTGTATTGATCAAGGTTAATCTGAATGTTTAATGAAAGTTCACTAATAACAGGTAGTTTCTTCAATGTCTGATTCAGTGTCACTGGGAATTAAAGTACTGTTAGAAGAGGAAGTAGTAGTTCAGAGGAAGCAGTCTAGGAGGTAGAGGAAACAGTCTAGGAGGTTCCTGGAGTGTGTGGAAGACAACTTCCTGACACAGCTGGTGAGTGAGCCTACCAGGGGAGGTGCCTCGCTCGACCTCCTGTTTACAAACAGAGAAGGACTGGTGGGAGATGTGGTGGTCGGAGGCCGTCTTGGGCTTAGCGACCATGAAATGGTAGAATTCTCGATTCTCCGTGAAGTAAGGAGGGGAGGCAGCAAAATTGCTACCATGGACTTCCGGAGGGTGGACTTTGGCCTGTTCAGGACGCTGGTTGAGAGAGTCCCTTGGGAGACAGCCCTGAAGGGCAAAGGGGTCCAGGAAGGCTGTATGATCTTCAGGAAGGAAGTCTTAAAGGCACAGGAGCAG